ATCTATGGCAAAGTTCTGGGGTAGTCGAGGGTGTTCTATGGATAGTGAGGGCACTGCCGCTTAAAAAGTGGGAGCAGGAGTCAGCCACTTCTTGCTACCCCCATCCAATACAGCGGTGTTAGTCTGACTGGAACTCAAATTCCTGCCTGCCCTCCACCGTGTTCCATCCTGTGTAATTGTGAGAGAGACTGCAAGATCTGAATGCTTTAGATTTCTCTCTCTCTCTCTCTCTCTGGCAGATACCCAATGGCACTTGGGAACCTCGCAGACCTGGAGGAGTTGGATCCAATGCCAGACAGACCGGATCCATTGGCACTTTATCACGAGGTACACGGCTCCCTTTTTTATTACGGTGTGGCGCTGGAGGAACACGGGGTCCCGACCCGAAACGTCAGCTTTCCTGTTCCTGTGATGCTGCTGTGTTCCTCCAGCTCCACACCGTGTTGTCTCTGACTCCAGCATCGGCAGTTCTTAATTATCCCTTTTTTCTATTTACTTATTTGTGGGATGTGGGTGTCGTCAGCTGGGCCCAGCATTTAGTGCCCTGTCCCTATCGCCCCTCGAAGGTGGGGGGAAGAGCTGCCTTCTTGAACCGCTGCAGTCCGCCTGCAATATCCCATGGGTGATTTGGGCTAGAAAGAAAATACAGAAAGTTATTTGTACTTATTTTAAAAGAAAAAGTTAAAGAGAAAAGAATAAGCTCCCTCGTGGCTCAGTGGTAGTGTCCCTACCCCTGGATCGAGGGGCCCAGGTTCCACTCCTACCTGGTATGTAGCAACATCTAGATTAATTAGAAAAATAGATGATTAAAAAAAACCCACAAAAACAGAACAGCCATTTAGGGCCCTCTTGTGGTGCAGTGGTAGACACTTGAGTTCAAATCCCACCTGCTCCAGAGGACTGGAGTGAAAAAAAAAACCAGAAAACAATTAGGGAGGGAATTCCAGGATTTTGACATCCACTGACTGTAACTGTGTTGCACTGTCCCCATTCTCCTGAAAGGCATTAATTCTTGTGTGATAGGTACAGCACAGGGTTAGATACAGAGTGAAGCTCCCTCTACACTGTCCCCCATCAAACACTCCCAGGGACAGGGACAGCACAGGGTTAGATACAGAGTGAAGCTCCCTCTACACTGTCCCCCATCAAACACTCCCAGGGACAGGGACAGCACAGGGTTAGATACAGAGTGAAGCTCCCTCTACACTGTCCCCCCCATCAAACACTCCCAGGGACAGGTACAGCACAGGGGGTTAGAAACAGAGTGAAGCTCCCTCTACATTGTTATCCTGTACCTGTAAACATCCAGTTCTTTGTTTGCTCACTTTGTTCTGTTTCATTTCCTCATTATGCTTCTCATCTCACAGGCCATTTCTTCAGCGAAACAGTATTACAATAATGAACATGTTTACCCCTATGTATACTTGGCCAGCTACTTCTGTCGCAACAAGAACGTCAAGGATGCTCTAGCCTCCTGGGGTGATGCAGCTACAGTCATCCAGGAGTGAGTCAGCTGCTGCCTGTCCACTTTCATCCCCACACTCCCGTTTCTTCCAATAGTGACTGCACCATCTGTTATACACCCTTGACCACCTCACCCTCCGCACCCCCCCACCCCACCACCCCCCAACACCCCAAGAGGGCAGATGGAGTCTTGGTTTGATGTCTCATCAGAAAGACTGCACCTCCCACAGTGTCCGCTCCCTCGGCGCCAAACCTCCGACAGCATGGTGCTCCCCTGGCGCTGACCCTCCGACAGTGCGGTGCTCCCTCAATACTGACCTTCTGACAGTGCCCATTCCCTCGGCGCTGACCCTCCGACGGTGCGGCGCTCCCTCGGCGCTGACCCTCCGACGGTGCGGCGCTCCCTCGGCGCTGACCCTCCGACGGTGCGGCGCTCCCTCGGCGCTGACCCTCCGACGGTGCGGCGCTCCCTCTCAGTCAGGTTTCTAACAGTGTTCCTTTGTTTTCTCTCTCTCTCTTGTTTTCCAGTTATAATTATTGCAGGGAGGATGAGGAGATTTACAAGGAATTCTTTGACATTGCAAACGACATCATTCCCAATCTCATCAAGGAGATGGCCAGCATGGCTGAAACCTCGGAGGAACCTCAGAGGGATGGAGATAGTGGCACTGAGGTATACCCGTGGAATCTTGCTGTGCAGCGTATCATGCTGTTAGTTCTGTAGCTTCCCTTGCGCATTTCGCCGCGACCTGGCTAATCTGTGGCGCCTTCACCGGTGAGGCCAGGAGGTGTTGGCCATATCTCCCTAGAACTGAGTGAAAAAGCCCCAACGAACCAGAGGGATGTGAAGATACAAGTCCATTGCTGTGGGTCTGGAGTCACGTGTAGACCAGACCTGGTAAGCTCGGCAGATTTCCCCCCAAAGGACATTAGTGAACCAGATGAGTTTTTAGAACAATTGATGACGGTTTGATGATATTCCTGCCTGGCCACGGCGGGGAGGTACCAGAGGACTGGAGGACAGCTAATGTGGTTCCATGTTTCAAGGAGAGTGGTAGAGAGAAATGCAGGGAGTTAGAGTCTCACACTACTGGTAGGGAAACCATTCTCCTTTTTGAAGGAGAGAATTGGAGAGGCAAGGATTGAGCAGGGATAGTCAGCATGGCTTTGTCAGAGGGTGGTCATTGCTTGAATTTTTTTGAGGAGGTGAGCGGGTGTGGCGATGAGGATAGGGCAGTTGATGTGGTTTATATGGATATTAGCAAAGCCTTTGACAAGGTCCGACATGGGAGACTGATAAAGAAGGTAAAAACACGTGGGATCCAGGCTAATGTGACCGCTTGGATTTAGTGGCAGGAGACGTAGGGTGGTGGTAGAAGGCGGATTGAGTGACTCGAGCTGGTCTCCAGCAGTGTACCACAGGGGGGCAGTGCTGGGTCCCTCATTGCTGGTGAGCTGTCTCAATGATGTGGAGATTGTGGGTGGGGCAGTGATAAGTTTACAGCTGTTTGGCCAGGTGATTCACAGTGAGGGGGGGGGGGGGTGCGGTGGTGCGGCGGATGTTGTGAGTTACAGGAGGGTATAGATGGATAGGTCACTTAGGCCAATCAGTGGCAGATGGAGTTTAACCCTGGTAAACGTGAGGCGATGTACTCTGGAAGAAGTAAGAAGACCAGGGAGTACTCAGTGAATGGCAGGGCATGAGGAAGCTCAGAGGAACAGAGGGATCTTGGGAGGCTTGTCCACAGAGCCCTGAGAGCAGCAGGACGTTAATAGGGGAGCTAAGAAGGCACACAGGACCTTTAGCTTTATCAGCCGTGGCGTTGGTTTAAAAAAAGAGGGAAGGTTATGTCAGAGCTGTACAGAACCTTGGTGAGGCTGGAGGACTGTGTGCGGTTCCGGTCTCCATACTGTAGGAAGGAAGTGATAGCACTGGAAGGGAGTGCAGAGGAGATTCACCAGGATAAAAACCCCAAAGAACTGCGTTTCAGGTACACCAAGAAGCTGGATAAGCTCGGGTTGTATTCTTTAGAGCAGGGAAGGTCGGGGTGGAGGGTTGTGGGGTGGGGGGACCTAATGGAGGTGTGTAAGATTGTGAGGAGTGTGGTAGGAAGTTGCTGTTTCCTCAGTTGAAGGGTCAATGATAAGGGAGGCATCATATTAAGGTGTAAGCCAGGAGGTTTGGAGAGGATTTGAGGATAAACATTGTTTCATCCAGATGGTGGCAGGGGGCTGGAACGCACTGCTTGGGAGGGTAGTTAAGGCAGGAAACCTCACAACTTTTTAAAAAGTACGTGGATGAGAACTTGGAATGTCATAATGTTCAAGGCTCCGGGCCAACTGTAGGAGACTGGGATGAGAGTAGGTTTTGTCAGTGTAGACTAGGTGGGCGAAAGGGTCTGCTCTGTAGTGTCTGATTCACTGAGACCAGCTTTTAATGACAGATTTGATGAATTGACTACAATTTGAAACCCTGGCCCCAGACCATCAGCTAGTTTTATACTTTACTTGATCCACTGATATTCCCACAAGGCTGCTGCTCCCCGTTGTCAGTTCCCCCAGCCTGAAGGCGATGGGCAGAGACAATCAATCCAGCTTCATTGTGTCTCAGCCCTCCACAGCATCTCCCCTGGCTTTGTCACCTCTTTTTTAAATTAAATTCCTCTTTCTTACCTTCTCCTCACCAGGACTGACTTTAAAACAACGCAGTTCGAGTTCGGAGTTTCAGCTTTGCTTCTTCACTGCCTTCTCTCTGTCACAGTACTCCATGTGTTCCTTCTCCTCAAGGAAATTCCAATCTCTCGACATGTCTATCTGTGTGTTTGGTTCACTCTTACTCCTGTGTCTGTCTCTGACACTATCCTCTCTGCACCATCACCACCAACCCCCCCTCTCTCTGCGGCCCCATTCCCCTCTCTCTCTCTGTCCCTTGATTTATTTCTCTCTCTCTCCCCTCCCCTCCCACCCTACCCCTACATGCTCTCTCTCTTGCATGCTTTCTCCCTCTCTCTATCTGTGCAGGACTAACGATGGGGAGGTGTAGACACACCGTAGAACATAGAACCTAGAACATAGAACAGTGCAGCACAGTACAGGCCCTTCAGTCCACGATGTTGTGCTGAACTTTTACCCTAATCCTAAGGTCTTTCTAACCTCCACCCCTACCTTATACTATCATCCATATGCCTATCTAATAGCTGCTTAAATGCCCCTAATGAGGCCGACTCCACTATCCTCTCCGGCAATGCATTCCATGCCCCGACCACTCTCTGGGTAAAGAACCTACCTCTGACGTCTCCCCTATAATCTACCTCCACTCACTTTAAAACTATGCCCCCTCATAATAGCTACCTCCATCCTAGGAAAAAGTCTCTGGCTGTCTACTCTATCTATACCTCTGATCATTTTGTACACCTCTATCAAGTCACCTCTCATCCTTCATCGTTCTAAAGAGAAAAGCCCTAGCGCTCTCAACCTTTCCTCGTAAGACCCTCCCTTCATTCCAGGCAACATTCTGGCAAATCACCTCTGCACCTTTTCCAACGCCTCCACATCTTTCCTGTAATGAGGTGACCAGAACTGGACACAATACTCCAGATGTGGGCGAACCAGGCTTTTGTATAGCTGGAGCATAACTTCACGGCTCTTGAACTCGATCCCTCTATTAATGAAAGCTAACACACCATATGCCTTCTTAACAACTATATCCACCTGGGTGGCAGCTTTCAGGGAACTGTGGACATGAATCCCAAGATCCCTCTGCTCCTCCACACTGCCAAGAATCTTTCCATTAACCCTGTATTCTGCTTTCAATTTTGTCTTTCCAAAATGAATCCCCTCACATACTTTTCAGGGTTAAACTCCATCTGCCACTTCTCAGCCCAGCTCTGCATCCTATCAATGTCCCTTTGTAACCTAGAACAGCCCTCCGCACTGTCCACAACGCGACCCACCTTTGTATCGTCCGCGAACTTACTAATCCACCCTTCCACTTCTTCATCCAAATCATTTACAAAAATCACAAATAGAAGAGGACCCAGAACAGATCCTTGTGGTACACCACTCGTAACTGAGCACCATGTTGAATATTTTCCGTCCACTACCACCCTTGTCTTCTAAGGGTCAGCCAATTCTGAATCCAATCTGCCACATTTCCCCCTATCCCATGTCTCCTTACCTTCTGCATGAGCCTACCATGGGGAACCTTATCAAACGCCTTACTTAAATCCATGTATACCACATCCACTGCTCTACCTTCATCCACGTGTTTGGTCACCTCTCCAAAGAATTCAATAAGGTTTGTGAGGCATGATCTACCCTTCACAAATCCATGCTGACTATCATGAATCAAACTGTGACTTTCCAAGTGATCATAAATCCTATCGCTCAGAGTCCTTTCCAATAATTTGCCCATCACTGACGTGAGACTAACTGGCCTGTAATTTCCGGGGCTATCCCTATTCCCTTTTCTGAACAAGGGAATGACGTTTGCCTCTCTCCAATCTTCCGGCACTGTACCCGTGGACAGTGAGAACGAAAAGATCATCGCCAAAGGCCCTGCGATCTCTTCCCTCGCTTCCCATAGAATCCTTGGATAAATCCCATCAGGCCCGGGGGACTTATCTATCTTCAACTTCCTCAAAATTCCTAGCACATCTTCCTTACTAACATTGACCTCCTCTAGCCGACCAGCCTGTTTCACACTGTCCTCCTCTACAACTAAGTCCCTCTCAGTTGTGAATACTGAAGAAAAGTACTCATTAAGGACCTCTCCTATTTCTTTAGGCTCCGTGCGCAAATTCCCTTTGCAATCCTTGATCGGCCCTACCCTTTCTCTGGTCATTCTCTTATTCCTCATGTACGTGTAAAAAGCCTTGGAGTTTTACTTGATCCTATCTGCCAACGTTTTCTCATGCCCCCTTATAGCTCTCCTAAGCTCTTTCTTCAGCTCCTTCCTGGATAACTTGTATCCCTCTAGAGCCTTTTCCGTTCCTTGTTTCCTAAACCTTACATAAGCATCCTTCTTCCTCTTAACCAGTTGTTCGACCTCTCTTGAGAACAAAGGCTCCCTCACTCGACCGCATCTTCCCTGCCTGCTCGGGACAAATATATCGAGCACACACAGTATGCATTCCTTAAACAATCTCCAGATTTCTATAGTGCTCTTCCCTGACAGCATCTGTTCCCATTTTATGTTACCCAGTTCTTGCCTAACAGAATTGTAATTACCCTTCCCCCAATTATAAACCTTACCCTGCTGTATGTACCTATCCTTTTCCAGGACTATTGTAAAAGTAAGAGAGTTATGATCGCTACCGACAAAATGGTTTCCTACCAACAGGTCTGACACTTGGCCCGGTTCATTGCCAAGCACCAAACCCAAAGTGGCCTCTCCTCGTGTTGGTCTATCTACATACTGTGTCAGGAATCCTTCCTGAACGCACGGACAAAATCCGCTCCATCTAAACTATTACAACTAAAATGTTTCCAATCAATATTTGGAAAGTTAAAGTCATCCATGACTACAACCCTGTGACTTCTGCACCTTGCCAGTATCTGCCTCCCAATCCGCTCCTCTACTTCTCTGCACCTTTTAGGGGGCCTGTAAGAAAACCCCCAGCAAAGTGACTGCTACTTTCTTGTTCTGGACCTCAACCCAAACTGACTCTGTAGACATATCATTCTCGAACTGCCTTTCAGTAGCTGCTATACTAGCCCTGACTAGCAATGCTACTCCCCCACCTCTTTTTCCACTCTCCCTATTTCTTTTAAAGCATTTAAATCGCGGAACTTCCAACAACCATTCTTCTCCCTGAGTTACCCAAGTTTCTGTAATGGCCACAATATTGTAGTTCCAAGTACCGACCCATGCTCTAAGTTCATCCGCCTTATTTCTGATACTTCTAGCATTGAAGTTTACACACTTCAAACCATCTCTGTGTCCACAATTACGCTCCATTGACCGCATTTCTTTATAAACAACTTCACTCCCTGTTGTGTCTGTTGGAAGGCTGAATACCTCATCCTCTGAATTACAAATCCAGTTCCCCACCCCCTGCCAAGCTAGTTTAAACCATCCCGTATAGCTCGAGCAAACCTCCCTCCCAGGATATTTGTGCCCTTCCGGTTCAGGTGCAACCCGTCCTTACTGTACACGTCCCACCTTCCCCAGAATGTGCTCCAATTATCCACGTAATGGAAGCCCTCCCTCCTACACCAGCCCTGTAGCCACGTGTTTAGCTGCACCCTCTCCCTATTTCTTGCCTCATTATCACGTGGCACTGGTAGTAATCCAGAGATAACTACCCTGTTTGTCCTGGGCTTCAGCTTCCAACCTAACTCCCTGTACTCGTTTTTCACATTCTCAGTCCTTTTTCTACCTATGTCATTGGTACCGATGTGTACCATGACTGCTGGCTGCTCACCCTCCCCCTTAAGGATCTTGAAGACACGATCTGAGACATCACGGACCCTGGCACCCGGGAGGCAACAAACCATCCGTTCATCTCATTCGCGTCCACAGAACCGCCTGTCTGTGCCTCTTACTATTGAATCCCCCACTACAATTGCTCTCCTATTCTCCCCCCTTCCCTTCTGTGCCACAGGGCCAGGCTCCGTGCCAGAGACCTTTCTGCTATGTACATGAGGTGTGTATACCAGTCATGTGATTGGTCTTCTCATCCACAAATCCGGGCTCATTTACAAAGGCTGAAAGTTCAAATGCCACCAAGTCAGATCGCAGAACTTCAACTGAGTAAACAGCTGGAAGAAAGCTGGCATAATGTGGCCATGTTACACTAATAACCCATCTGGTTCACTCATGTCCTTTAGGGAAGCAAATCTGCTAATCCCTGTCACCCCCGCCCTATCCCTGTCACCTCTGCCCCCCCCCGCCCCCCCCCCCCCCCCAGCCCCCTACACCCCCTCCCTATCTCTAATCCACTGCAGCTTTCAGCTGCCCAGGGACAAAGTTCTGAAATTCCTGCGTGAACCACCTTTTACACTCCCATTTCTGTGTGTTTTGCATTAAGATGATCACTAAACCCGGCCTGTTTGCCCAAGCTGTTGGTGGCTGATGGTCAGACTGCATCTGAGCGACGCTGCTGGGGAGTCTCTGTGGGATGCGGTGACTGTGTGTGAGAAGGCAGAGTATAGCATGCAGTAGTTAATGACATTGCCGTTGATGCCCCAGGTACCTCAGGGACAGGCTGCACCCAGCACTGCACTGCAGGATCCCGAGAGCTTCGCTCAGCTGCTGCGTTTCTACGATGGGATCTGTAAGTGGGAGGAGGGCAGCTCCACCCCAGTCCTGCACGTAGGCTGGGCCACCTTTCTCGTGCAATCCATCAGCAAGTTCGATGGGCAGGTAATTACTGCTCCTCCTCTACCACCCGTCTGTGCCTCTCCGGCAAAGCCACACTGTCGGAGGGTCAGTGCTGAGGGAGCGCCGCACTGTCGGAGGGTCAGCGCTGAGGGAGCGCCGCACTGTCGGGGAGTCAGCGCTGAGGGAGCGCCGCACTGTCGGAGGGTCAGCGCTGAGGAAGCGCCGCACTGTCGGAGGGTCAGCGCTGA